TGTTTGGACACTTCCTACGGGACAATCACAATTAGCTTAAGGAGGGGCCTTGATTGCCTGAGTAGTACTGGAACTGGGAGCTGCAGTGTGTGTTCTGTGCCTGTTGTCCCCATGTGTGAAACACACACTGCGTGTCCCCAATGACACACCAGGAAGCCTTGTGGCAGGCGTGCCCTTTTCCTGACCATGCACCTACCTCCAGAAGAGGACTGGCTTCTCCTTATACAGGATGCAGGGGTCTTTAGGCTCACCGAGATGTTGCTTCCTTCAGACACAGTTCTGAAAAGATGTGTCAACTGTAAACATCCTGTTCAAAATTGTTTGTCTCACTGCTGATAGATGGTACCTTGTAGGGCAATTTTATCCCTGGCTATACACTCCTAGACAACTCCACTCTATTTTCTGGAGCCACAGGGAATAAATAAGACTTTTCTGAGAATGGAGATGTGAAGGCTCCAAAGATCAGCCCAATATGCTGGGGGAGGTGTCTGTCTCCTGTCAGCCCTGGGAAGACTCCCTCTTGGTTGTGCACCCTCATCAACCTCACTCTTGATGAAGACCTCAACTTCCATTCCTCTGATATTCATTTTTCATCCAAAAATTGTTGCTGTATGAGGCATATACTGGGTTCTAGGAGGCACATTCTTAATGAAAACAGGCAAGACCCCTGCTCTCAAGGAACCTGATCTTTGTAAGAGATGGGGATCAGGGTAGGGGATTCACAATAGATGAGTACATGTATAAAATGTGTGCTAAGAAGGCAAGGTCTGGTGCTGAGGACAGCAGTAGATGTGACAGGCGTGGGTGTGAAGCTCCACTGGAGAGGGACACTGGAGCCTCCTCAGCCTCCCTCTTCCTCTCTCCCCTCTGCTGTCTTCTCCTCTTCTCCCAGACACCTCAGTTTTAGACTCAGAGAACTGTTGGTCCTGAGCCGTTTCTCTTCCCCAACCCTGATGATCCCAACTATTTCCAGGAATTCAACTGTCTTTAATATATCATCAGCTCCCCAATCCATATCCACAGCCCAACCTTCCCCAAGCTCCTTAGTTTAATTACAATTTAGCATCTCCCTTGAGTGCCACACAAGAGTTTCACACTTAAACCAAACTCTTGAACTGTCCCCAGAGTCACTCTTCTCTTATCCTCCTCATCTCTGAACTCTTCTCTCCTTTGTCATGAATGTGGAGTCATTCTCTGTTGTACTCTCTCCTCCATCTCCCTACCCATCCTCCTCTTCCTGTGAATTCTTGTTCCAGTGGCCCCTGTCCATGCTTCCTCCCTCACCACACCCCAGGGATCCATTATCCCCAACTTAGCACCCTGCAGACTCCTCCAGCCTGGACTCAGGACCCACAGTCCCTAAGTAATCTCAGAAATCATGAACCAGACCATGACACCCAGTCACTGGCTTAAACTCCTTATCGACAATCACACTAAGTACAAAAAAACTCTTTCCCATGACTAACGAAACCCTGAGTGTCCAGGTTGCACTGAGCTATCTCCTTCCATGATCCAGGCTACAGGAAACAAACCCATCTATATCTGGGTCTCTTATTATTATTAGTCCTTACTGCAATGATTGACAGACTATGAATTTTATTGTATTTCCCCCTTGTTGCCACCTTAAGAACACTGCTTCCACTTGTCTTACCTTTCTTTCAGATAAAATTGCTTTCACCAAACACCAATAAAATTTTCCCTTATTTCCTTCATCAAATTTTATTCCCTGGCACAATTTAAAAATCTGGTTTAGAAGCGGGAATGGACTTTGAGAATCTATTTGAAAGTCAGTGTCACTCTTCAAGGAGTGCTCAGGCCCCACTTAGCTCAAATATCTGGAAGGTAAATAACCTCCAGAGACTAGTTGGTGCTCCAACCTCCTGGGTCTCAAATACCTGAAGCTGAGTGAGTCATCTTACAACTCTGAAGCCACCATCTAATCGAATCAAAGACAGTAATGACATGCCTAAAATATCCAGCTCTATACTGAAGAATGGGGTCACACACACCACTTCTCAACTCAGTTGTTACCATAAGGGAGGAAAAAGACTGAGCGAATAGACACCCAACACCGAGCAACAATCCTATGTACTCTTATGTCTGCTCCCTACACATGACAAGGCTTCTGAGTGCAACAGAGAAGGGCATCTCCAGATGCTCTTGTGCATCCTTACTTGATCAGAATCCACCAAGAGACAGATGGTATCTGATGCACAGAGGTACCAGGACTGTAGGACATCCAAGTTCAGATAAGACCCAGAGAGTAAATTTGAATTCGAATTGGAGCATTTCAATTACGTGAAGGCTTCGGACAAAGGACTGAGGTTCAATTAGAGGAATCAACCAAAGACCCAAAGTTGAATGTGACAGTCCCAGTATTTTGAAGAAAGAAGACTCTTGGATGAGGAAGAAACAGGAAGGGCTGTGGGATCTGTCTCTATCTGCGAGGACTTTGATTGTCTGTGTGAGAACCCCGACTCATCTGAGAATCTTTTCAATGACCCCATTTGCTTTTTCCCTAAGTGCTTCCCTAGCAACAACGGTGGGTTTTCATCATGCTCAGAGACAGAGGAAGGCAGGTAGAAGGAAACAGCAACAAAGTCCTGAGTATTCCCTCCTGTCTTCCCCCCACCCTTCATTGGGGTACATTCTGCTAAATGTGACTCAGTCCTGGCTGATGGAAGCAGGCTGAGCAAGGCAGAAACCTGGGTGAGGGATTTGTGCAAAGCCCACCCTCCACCAAAATGCCAGAGGAGGAGAGGGAAATTCAGAGGAGCTTGGTACCTGATGCAGTGTCCTAAGAAAAGCATCTATGGGTTTCACCCCAGATTCTGAATGACTTTCATTTTCATGGACCTCTGATCAGTTCAGGACCGAATTCCTGGGCCTTGGGGAAGGGAATGAATAAGAGGCCCTAGTAAAGTCTCCTTACCTGTTGTACTCATGGGTCTGCCTTTCTCTGTCATACCTTTCAGCCGCCAGCTCCAGCCTGTGGTGACTGAAGCCCTTCCTCACAGCTACTCCTGGGCCTCCAGTCACTCTCACCTGCTCTATGAGTGCAGGACTTGTCATGAATTGGTACAACTCAAGGCGGTTCCTAAGGAAACCCAGCCAAACTTCTCTATGGCTCACATAGCAGTTAGACAAATGCCCCATGTCATTCCTAGCTATTTCAGGCTCCATATTTCGGGGCTCAGCCACCCCACCATTGCTGGGGACAAGCTAATCACTGCTGTATCCTGTGGCATCACATACCTGCTTCGCAGAAATGACTTTCTATGGGAGTTGGACCAGGAACTCCAACAGCTCATGCAGGGACCTTGGGGCAGAGGGAAGACTTCTCCATGCTGGGAGAAAAAAGTCCACCAAAAATCTGGTTCTGCCTGCTCTCCTTAAGCCCGGCTTGTGTATAAATATCTTGGAAACATTTTTATACCCCAGAGCCCTATGGAGGCCACCTTACTGTTTAACTCATGTACAGTGCAGCAGGGAGAAGGTGTAGACATGATTTGATTGTTATTCTTTTGGTCATGAGAATTTAAGTTAAGGAATTCTAGTTTAGAAACAACATGATGAATTTGAACACTGGATAATACTTGCAGGTAAATAGAAAATTTCCAAAGGCAGCCCATAGAAGATGCTGTGGACACCATTCTATGGGGGCCCATCTCCCAGGCAGGTAGTCTTTTCTGGGGATGGACCCTGGGCTCTCAGACAGTCGTCTGGAAATGACACCCACCAGCACCACCCACAGACAATGAATGGCTGGGATAGGGGACATAGCCCTGGTCACAGGCCTCCAAGTAGGATGCATCTTGTCATGCAATCTTGCTCCAGAGCTCCCCACAGGACCAGGTTGGAATCTGACTTTACCTCTGTACCTTTCTTAACCTACTCCTCTCCCCATCAGGGTTTCTTCTGAGAGCACTCCTCAGTAAATCACATGTGCCAAGTTCCCATCTCAAGATCTGTCTTCCTGAGACTATACTTGGGAAAGAGGAAGGAGGAAACCTCCTATCTTGGTCCTCTTGTCAAGACCATTACATGCATTGTTTTTTATGTGTCTTTCTACCCTAGACATAGAGCCCTGTGCTGTTCATGAAAAGACTGCAGAGGGTTCCACATGGGTTTTAACCAACTACCCCTAATAGTTGCCACCAGGATGTTGATATTACAGATAGCACTGCAATGAACATTCTCATGTAGACTCCATGGGTTTACATGAAATATAACCACTGTATATATATATTTTAAAAATAGAATTGCTAGACCAATGGATGTGTCTTTGTAACTTTCTCCATGTATTTTCAGCTTCCCTTCGAGAGGTGTTGTATTAATCACAGTGGTAGCTATAAGTATTTGATCAGAGTATAGTGTTGACAATTTAGATTTTTGCCAAGCTGTTAGGTTTAAAATGTTACTTTGTGACAGTTTTATTTTGAACTTCACTTCTTTTGCTTGAGGTTGAGCATTTTCCCAAATATTTCAGTGTATGTTTTAGGATTTGGTATACTTTCTAAAATGTTCAAATAAGAAGTATTTTGAGCTTTGTGGGCAGAGTCAACATCCAGCATTTATTAGGGACTCAGAAGTAGTCATTCTGCATGAGCTAGTGATACACAAAGGATGGCATTCCTTCTGTGGGCAGCAGGGGACACTGTGGGTCTTGGTTTAGAAACCTAACTCTCTAAGTCCCCTGGTAGTGCTCAAGTGCAGAGGGCGTGACTGAGGCTTCCTTTGCAGCTCCTTCTATCAGGTCAAAGCTAAACTCCGTTTATGACACACATCCGGCTCTTCTTCTGAACTTGAGAACTTGCCAACATGAGAATTTCAGGCTCAGGGCTCAGACAAGAGCTCAGACAGATAAACAGTGGAATGGAGAACAGATTTGCATTGCCTGCTCCCCAGGGTAACATCCAACAAGGCTACAAGAGGGAAGAATCAAGATTTGCATAAAGAGACTCTCCATCTTATAAGAGTGGCGGAGAGGCCCACCTCAGCTTTGGGTTCAGAGGTGGAACTCTGAGCTGTCTCCACCATGGCCTGGACCCCTTCCCTGCTCACCCTCCTCACTCTCTGCACAGGTGCTGTCTCCCAGGGTTCAGTGCATGCAGAACTAGGGACCAGCCTGGCCCTGACCTTTGATCCACACAGGGGATGGTGCAGGGTGTGAAGCTCCAGGAATGAGACCCTTCTTCACAGACTTATCTCTCATGTCCTCTCTTGCAGGTTCAGTGACCTCCTCTGAGTTGACTCAAGTGTCTGCAGTGTCTGTGGCCTTGGAACAGACAGTCAGGATTACCTGCCAGGGTGATAACATAGGAATATTTGGTGCACACTGGTACCAGCAGAAGTCAAGCCAGGCCCCAGTGCTGGTCATCTATGGTAGCAGCAACCGACCTTCAGGGATCCCTGAGCGATTCTCTGGCTCTCGTTCAGGGAACACAGCCACCCTGACCATCAGCAGGGCCCAGATCGAGGATGAGGCTGACTACTACTGTCAGTCACGGGACAGCAGTGGTAACTATCCACAGTGATACAGAAAGATAGGGGAAGTGAGACACAAACCCTATCTCTGTTGTTGTCATCCTCCTCTTTCAGCCTCAGAAGGACTGTAGAAAAAACTGTAAGCAGGCCTATAACCCCAGCATTTGGGAGGTCAATGCAGGAAGGTTGTTTGAGCCAGGCATTGGAGAAGAATTTAAGACCAGCCTAGGCAACATAGTGAGACAAAATAAGAAAAATTAGTTGGGAGTGGTGGCACAGGCCTGTAGCCTAATGCTTTAGGATCCTAACCCTTTAGGATTTGGCCCTACTTGGGTGGCTGTGGCAGGAGCATCACTTGAGTCCAGTTCAAGGCTGCAGTGAGCAATGATCCTGCCACTGCACTCCAGTCTGGGTGAGAGAGTGAGATCCTTACTGAACAAGAAAAAAAAGTCATTTTTAAAATTACCAGTGTGATGAATTTGAATTTGAACACTAGATATACACTTCAGTAGAAAACGGAGTGTGTGGTAGATGCTGTTGTAGCCACTGTTCAGTGGGTGCAACTACCTTCCAGCCTTCTCTGGAGGTGGATTCTGGACTCAGACTGAAACCGCCTCATGAAGGGTTGCCTAGGAGTGACACCCCCACCATCACCCAAATGAATGAGTGGACTGGGAGATGCAAGCCCTGCTCACTGACCTCCAAGTAGGACACACCATGTGATGCAATTCTGCTCTGGAGTTCCCCCAGGACCAGGCTGGAACCTGACTTTGCCTCTTTACCTTCCTGTTCTACTTCTCTCCCCATCCTGTTTTCTTTTGAGAGCACTCTTCAGTAAATGATATGCTCCAAGTTCCCAACTCAATCTCTCTCTCTTGGAGACTGTATTTGAGAGGGTGGAAAATGAAAGGTCTCTGTCCTGGTCCTCACGTCAAGAAAATCACATGCACTGTTTCTTGTGTGTCCTTCCACTCTAGGCATAGAGCACTGCCCAACTCATAATAATGCTATAGAGGGTTCCATGTGGGTTGTAACCAACTATCCCCTAATGGTTCTTACCAAGATTTGGATCTTACAAATAACACTACAATGAACATCCTCAGTCAGACTATTTAGGTGCATGGGTGTGTGTGACCATCGGAAAAATTTCTAGAAGTTAAACTGCTGAGTAAAAAGAGACGTGTTTGTTATTTTCACTGATTATTTTCAGAATCTCCTGTAGAGCACTGTATCATTTGACAGTATTAGCTATCCATCTTTGAGTAGAGTATATTCCTGGAAGTTTAAATTCCTGACAACACAGAAAAGTTATATTGTGACAGTTTTGCTTTGGATTTCCAACATTTTCTCAAATATTTCAAGGCTTTGTATTTATTAGGAATTGGTAATTTTTTCCTTAAATGTTCACATAATAAGTATGCTAGGCTTTGTGGACCAAGAGTCAACTTTGAGGATATAATGTGGGTATTTACAATATCATTAACAATGTGCCTATTTAAAAGTATAAAGACCACATTCGGCTGGGCTCGGTGGCTCGGCCTGTAATCCCTCGCTTTGGGAGGCCGAGGTGAGTGAACTGCCCGAGCCTGCGGGTTTGAGACCCACCTGGGCAACTTGGAGAGACCTCATCTCTACAATAAATCAAAAAAATTAGCTGGGTGTGGTAGCACATGCCTGTGGTTCCAGCTACTTGGAAGACTGAGGCGGAAGGATTGCCGGAGCCCAGCAGGTCGAGGCTGCAATGGCCTGGAGCGTGCCACTGCGCTCCAGTCTGGGTGACACAGTGAGACTTCAACTCAAACAAAACAAAACAAAACAAAAAACCCAACCACATTCAGCTTGGGATCATCTAAAAAACATACAGATGACCTTTAGGATTTGGCCCATAGGATGTGGTTTAAAGATCCTTGTTTTACAGGATTATGTGAAGTTTACAAAATTCCACCAGCATCCTAAGTGGAGATCTTTTTGTGAGGAACAGTATATTTTAACTCCTGTAGTGGCCTGAAGTCTTTCTTTGGACCAGAACATAATTTTATCATTTATTTGATTGGCTCTTGGGTTTTGCCCAAGGTAGTAATGTCACAATCTCATAACTTTTATCTCTATTTTTTTTGCTGAATTCTGGGAACATTTCAGATCAGGAATAAATTCCCCCAGATAGAAAAATCAGAGAGGGGGGATAGGCAAAAGGACAAGGAAGCTTGGATCAAAGTGGCGTCATTCAGAGGTGACTGGGTGAATATGAATCCATTAGTGTGGGTCCTTATTCAATCTGACTGGTGTGTTCCTAAGAAGAGGACACTTGGACTCATAGAGATGAGACATCAGAGATGAGCATGCAGAGGAAGGACCACATGAAGTCAGTAAGAAGGCAGCTATCTGCAGGTCAAGGGGAGATGCCTCAGGAGAAACCAAAGCTGCCAACACCTGTATCTTGGGCCTCTAGCTTCAGAACTGAGAGGAAATAAGTTTTTGTGGTTTAGGCTGCCAGGTCTTTGGTATCCTGCTATGGCTGCGCTAGCAAGTGATGATGAAAAGGAAACCAGAAGACAGGGATAAGGGAGGGAGGAGATGGAACAAGAGGCAGAAGGCAGGGCAGGAGGGGCTGGAAGATCAGGCCTGAGGTAAGTTTCTTGGTGGGAATCTTGACTCTAGTCATTCTTAGGGGACTTTTGGTAAAAACATTCAACCTATCAATATTTATTCTTTAATAGACATTTTTGTCCTATGTATAGGGTTCAAAGTCCTCGTATTCCCTGCTATAAACATTTTTCTTGAGGTGACATTTGTAAAACACTAGCACATCTGGCTCCAAAGTAGTCCTTCTCCATGAACTAGATACATGGAAGATGGCATTCCTTCTGAGAACACCAGTGGGAACTGCAGGCCTTGATTTGGGGACCATAGTAAACTTCAATTTGCCTGGTGTTATCAAGTACAAAGGCTATGACTGATGCTTCCTTTGAGCACTCTTTTGAGGGGGTCACATATACTCTCCATTCATGGCCCCTACCTGGTCCTATTGATGAACCTAAAAAATCAGGTTCAGAACTCAGACAGATACAATGAAGAATCTAGACCAGATTCACATCCTCTGTCTCCAAGAAAACACCCAATGAGCCACAGTAAGGAGGAAGTAGATTTGTTTGAAGAAAATTCCCTTTCTAGGATAAGAGAGGCATAGATGACCCTTCCCTATCTGAAGACACAGAAACAGAGATCTGAGGTGCCTCCACCATCACCCAGACAGCTTCTATGCTCACTGTATTCACTCACTGCACAGCTGCTACCTCCTAGGATCAGTTTTTTTTTGACCTTCAGCTTAACACAGGGAGTGATGCAGGGTGTGGGGCTTTGGGATGAAGCCCTCATCCTGAGATTCACTTCTCCTGTCTTCTATTGCAGGCTCCATGGCCTCTTCTGAGCTGATTCAGCTGCCTTCAGCATCTGTAGTCTAGGGACAGTCAGGATCACCTGCCAGGGAGATGGCATAAGAAGCTATCATCATACAAGTTGGTATCAGCAGAAGCCAGGCCAGGCCCCTGTGCTGGTCATCTAGGTTACTAGTAACCAGCCCTCCATGATCCTTGAGCAATTCTCTGGCTCCAAATCAGGGAACATAGCCACCCTGACCATTAGTGGAGTTCAGGCTGGGAATGAGGTTCACTGTCACTGTCAATCATAGAACAGCAGTTGTACTCATCTCACAGTGAAATAGGCAGATGGAGAAATGAGACACAGATCCCTCCCCCATTGGTTTCACTCTCTTGATCCATCTTCAAGAGGACTGTGGACAACGCCATGATTCTGGATCTGAGAGCTTTATGCTGCCCTTCCCACCAAACCCCAGGCAGGCTCTGCAGATGGTGGGTCAGTAGTGGATTTAGTGCTGTCAGGTCAAGACTGTCCTGGTGTTGACTGGGCTGGAGAGTGACTTAGAAAAAAAACTCGAATTGGCCTACAGTCATAAGGAGCTTTTTGTCAAGTGGTTATGATAACTGTACTTCCATATGTGTGATAACTGTTCGTCTTGTTCCTCCACTTATGTCCCAATATTCTGAAATGTATCTCTGAATTTCCCTTATGTAGCCCTGACTAAACCGCAGCATCCTGATATTCTGACCATAGACCAGTCTAGTGAACTCTGAAGATCTGTTCTTCAGGGCAAAGCCACTGACTCACTTTGGCTGGGAGTCCTGGAAGCTTACTGTTCTGCCCTCACTGGGCATTGCTGTTTACTGCAGAGGGTGACCTCCACCAATGTCTCCCCCTCTCAGAGTGGAGATCAGGTCTAATAACTGTCTAAGATCAAAATACCAAGGTCCTGTTTCAGGAAGGATGATCTTGAAGGGCTTCTCAGTCAATCCTCACTGCGGCCATATTGCAGGCTGCCCAGCTGTGCCTTACATACTTCCTCCCAGAGAGAATATCCCAGTACCTAATTGCAAGCAACTTTCTCTCTCAGACTTGATTTCAGGGAACTCCTTCCATCCCTTTCCCCTCCCTCAAAATAAAAGTTTACAGGAAATAGTATGGAAGAAGGGAGGGCAGCACAGAGACAAGGCTATGGACTTTGAAAATATTTTTGAGTACTGATGAGCACATGTATGCAAGGAAATACTTGAGCCTTAGAAAGGAATCTTCCAAAGGCATTAAAGAAAGCATTTGTAGGACTCACAAACATACACAACACACTCACACTCGTGCACTCGTGCGCACACACACACGCACACACACATACAGAGACAACACAATCAGGATAGTTATTGTTCTTACAGCCAGAATAAAAAGTGCCTAACTGAGAGTATCAAATTAACTAGTCAGAAGAGATTGACCCTGTACTGGGGATGAACTAGCTGTGGACTTGAATTTGTTCTTGCTCCACTTAGGATAGTTTAAGAGCAAGTTAGAAAGGATCCAACAGTCTTCAATTCACTTTTCTTAATCCAAGAAGAAAAAACAAAAATACATAGAGGAATTCAAATATACCATGCATCCAACCAACAAAAATTCACAGTGTCCAGCATTGT